ATGCTATGCCCGTATTTTAAAGGAACTGCAGTCAATGGGACCAGTGAGTTTCCGAAGCACAAATTCCAAATCCTATGGCCCTTCCAAAACATCGCATTACTCCTTGTACAAGTAATGCATTAAGTGAGGGGACAAAACACATCAAAATATTTCTTGATAACTGCTGGACTTGCATTGTGCTCTTCAGCTCGCAAAAGATTGCCAGCTGTATTATTCCCCTTTGAACGTGGCATTGACCTTGTGAGGCTATGGCTCAAATTTCCAGGAAGTGTAAAGTATAATGAGAAAAAAATAACAGTTGCAACACCTCTTAAGACAGCATTTGTTCAGGTCATTGGATGAGCAAAGGAGGGAGAAATCACACTCAGCTGGGAGGATCATGAAATTCAGCTCAGATTTCAGGTACAACGGAAGTAAATTGATACACAGACACAGACAAAAGGAGATGCACCTCTTCCAAGTTTGGTCCTGCACTCGTTCCTCGAAAATGTAGTCTGCTTCTTTGACCACTGATTTTCTAAAGCCAAAAAAAAAAAAAAAAGAAAGAAAGAAAATATTGCCTTCAACATAGAAAATGGAACTTTTTAGGGGGCAAATATTTCTGAAATCATTAGAGATGAAATAGATCTACCAGATGAAATGAATGAATTCCCATTATAACAATAATTTTAAGCAAAGATTCATTTATGTATTATAGCAGAAGGGTAGATAAAGGACCTAACATCATGAAAGTTTAATATTTACCAAAACTTGTATGAGTTGAGACTTTTTTTCATTATATAGAATAATAATTGTTCCGTTACAAAGCTCCATGACCTCTCTTTCCTGAAATACCAAAATCAGGTCTTACAAGCCAGGAAATTTTGAACAAATAACATAGCACAGTGGCCTAGTGTGATAGAAGTTAGGGCAGTGGTTCTCAACCTGTGGGTCGCGACCCCTTTGGGGGGTGGAATGACCCTTCCACAGGGCTGACCCAATTCATAACAGTAGCAAAATTACAGTGATGAAGTAGGGAAAATAGGTTTATGGTTGAGGTCACAACAACATGAGGAACTGTATTAAAGGGTCGCTGCATTCGGAAAGTTCAGAACCACTGAGTTAGGGGGTCAAGTGGTAAACGTTAAACCAGGCTACACCTGCCCCTGTGAGTTTCTGGAGACTGTAACTCTTTACAAGAGTAAAAAGCCTCATCTCTCTCAGTCAAAGCAACTGGTGATTTTGAACTGCTGACCTCCTAGTTGTACCACCAGGGCTCCTACTGATTATCATAGTTCTAAAATAAAAAAACTGCCATCAGGTAGATTCTAACTCATAAAGGCCCTATAGGACATACTAGAACTGCCCTGTAGATTTCCAGAACTGTAAAGCTTTATGTAAGCAGAAAGCCTCACATTTCTCCCAAGCAGCAGCTGGTGGGTTTGAACTACTGACTTTGTGGTTAGCAGCCCAACCTGTAACCCAGGAAGCCACCAGCTTAGTAGATACTAATTATGTGAGCTGATCAGCTGAGGGCAGAAGTCTAGAATTCTAGAGAGTAATCCTTTGTGGAAGGAAGAGGAGAAAATTTAGTAATCTTCAGTAACAATTTAATTGCAGGTGTTTGGGGTCTGCATCTCTTGCTTATTTTGTCTTCTTTTTAATCCGAATACCTGGGTCATCTTCTCAGATGAAACTATTTTTATTCTATAACTCACTATTTACTAACTTAATTTAGATGACTATCTGGATTTAGAGAAGGAAAACTTGGTCGAGTTTAAAAGAACCACTGTGTGTATGTCTTCCTAAGACTGCCTATGTGAATAGTCGACCCAAGGGGACCAGGAAGAATGTGTGCTCCCTCGTTTGCTTCCTTCAGCATCCTTGTGTACTCGGATGACAAAGGTGTATATGCGAAGATAAAAGGTGTAGCTCTTAAAGCAGAATCTACGTCATCACCATTATTACCCTGTTTCCCCGAAAATAAGACTGTCGTTTATTAATTTTTGCTCCCAAAGATGCGCTAGGTCTTATTGTCAGGGGATATCTTATTTTCCCATGAAGAAGAATATGGTACACATTTATTGTTGAACAACAAAAAAAGGAAATTTATTACCTGCATACAGTATGGTAGTAGTTGTCGTTACAAACCAGCATAACCAGACAAACTGTGAATCCTACAGTATCAAGAATTTCTTGTTACTACCATTATTTCCTGTACAACAGTCTATGGTACATTTACTCATAATCTATGGTACATTTACTTGCACTTCCTGTCTGCTCCGGCTGCACTGCGGTCAACAGTGAGCTGGCGGCGGCGCCCGCCACTACGGTCCAGAGTCCAGAGTTATGGTAGCTTTGGGGGACCTTATTGTCGGGGAGGCCTTATGTTCGGGGGAGATCTTATTTTGGGGGGATACCTTATATTTCAGCGAGAGGCATAACTGTAAGTAGGTCTTATTTTCGGGGGTGTCTTACTTTCAGGGAAACATGGTAGTAATATTATTCTATGGAGAAATGTGAAGTTAATAAATTGATAGGGAAACAGAATAGATGGAAGCCCTGGTGGAATATTGTATTACTATATGTTAAGCTATTAAACACATGGTGAGGTTCAAATCCACCAGCCACTCCATGAAAAAGATAAGACTGTTTTCTCGCATAAAGATTTACAGCCTTGGGAACCCACAGGGGCAATTCTCTGTTCTATAGAACCGCGAAGAGTCAAAATCAACTCCATGGCACTGATGTATATATATATGATGCATATATATATGATGCATATATATATGAATATATATATGCATATATATGAATATATATGCATATATATGATGCATATATATATATATATATATATATGAGATAATGTGAAGGAAAACTGTTTAGATTCTGGTCTTTTTAAGAGATCCATCGTAATAGTGATTTTTTAAGCTTTGGCCGGCTACTCTCACTCTTTTCCTCCTCTGAGCCATGTTCTTTTTCACTATTGCTCCTTGATTCGGTCGGGTTTTTGCTTGCTCGATACTCGCTTCCTCAGTCATCACAAGGAACCACCTGTGCTAGTATGGCTGTTGGCATAATTCCCATGGTGGCAGTTTAGTAAATAGAGTACACAGATCTTGGCAAGTAGCACTTTTCTAAATCATTATTCATGCATGCCCAATGAGGAGCATACAATTTCTTTTACATGAAGTAATACACATTTATGTAGTTCTTTAAAGTTCATGAATTGTTTCCCAACTATATCCCCAACCCCCCTCGAATTGAGTCTGATTCTCAGCGACCCTATATGTGAGAGTTCCAAGGTTGTAAATCTGTATAGGAACAGAGGTTCTCAACTTTCTGTCCTCAGAGAAAAGCCTGAAAGTAGGTATTACCACTGTCATTATTGTTGTTTAAAATAGAAGGAAAGGATGAATTCAGCAAAAGCTTAAATTCAACTCCAGTGTCTTCATTCCTCTGGTAAGTAATTGAGTCCTGTCTTCAAGCAGCAGGGCCAGGGGCTAGATCTATAACCAAACTGAACCCACTGCCATTGGCAGTGCTGACTCATAGCCACCCACTCAGGGTTTCCAAGACGGTAACTGGAGTAGAAAGCTCAGTCTTTCTCTCAAGGAACTGCTGGTGGTCTTGAAATGCCAACCATGTGGACCGCAGCCAATGCATAACCCCCAGGGTCCCAGCCCTATAATCCAGTATTATTTTCAATAAATAAACTTCGTTCTTACCGAATGAAAGCTCAAAACCAGATAAGTCCACATTTACATAACGATAGGACTCTTGTTTGTGATTTTAAACCATTTCTAGGGAAGGCTATCCCTGTACCTATGCACCGTTTATTTATCAGTGCTTATTGGTTTACATTTAATTTAGCTTTGAGAAGTTCTGTCCTGAATCAAATGTGTATGCCAATAATTATTTCCCTTTTAACACACATTATGAAAAAGAACAGAAATGGATATCTCCATAATTGCTTGGCTTCCTGCACCATCTTTTACTACCACAAAATATAAGTAAATAAGCCCAAAATGTAGTAATTCATCGGCTGAGAACCGTGTTAACAATCTTCAAACGACTCTCCTTTGGGGACAGTGGTGAGCAGTGCGGGACTAAGGCAGAGGAGAGACACATGAGAGGACCCCAGGTCTTCACGCTCCCATGCTTCACGGCCTTTCCGCTCGGAGAACGAGACGATGGCTGCCAGGGCCGGTGACTGTAAACGGAGTGCACGAAGCCCAGCCAAGAGAGGGAAATCTATTAATGCAGAATGTAGCGTCACTCGGGGAGCATTGATCATTTGCAAGTCACTATACCAACCCTTTTGATTTACCCTTAAAAGCCCAGTTTTACAGATGAGAAAACATAGGCACACAAAAAATTGATGATTTCAACTTGGCACGGTGGTACACAGCTAGTAAGTGGCAAAGCTGGACTTTGACCTCGGGCTGACTGATGCCACAGTTGATGCTCTTAGCCCTCGTGCCTAACTCCCGCTAAAGAAACTTTTCAAATGTCAAAGAATTGTTTCAAGGGACTTTTCCTCTGAAAGACTGCATAGCTCTTCTGTGCTCTATCCTCCGTGAGCTTTTTTTGGTCTATTTTAATTAGAGCTGAACTTGTCAAGGAGCGTTCTCCATCCTTGTCCTTGAGTGAAAACGTCTATGACGCCTGGCTTTTTGTGCTGTTTCCCTTATTATGAAGGAATATGTATAAAATGAAATGCCCAGGAAGTCCTCACCATACATGAAAACCATTGACTTGCTTATGTAACCTCCATCGGTATTTCCTAATTTTTACTAATTCCATTAAAAATGAATATGCTTACTTGTAAATGTAAATAGATATGCGTGCCTAATTTACAGGATTAAATAGATTAAACTGAAAACAATGTTACCTTACCTGCTTTGCACCCTTCCTAGTACACTGAGTTTACATTTTTTCCCATGGACTGTTTTTTCATAGTTTATCCAAAGTTCATGAACAACCCAAGGAAGTAGTCATTTGCTTTCTCCCCCCAGAAGCTCAGAAGAAACAATTGGAAGAGAGTATAGAGCTGATCCAAGATGAATGTGTGTCAGAGAATGCAGATCAATCTACAGAGGAGCCTGCTGAAGGAGGGCCCGATGCGGATGGAGAAGAGATGACTGATGGGATAGAGGAGGACTTCGATGAAGATGGGGGTCATGAGCTGGTAGGAACTAAACATTTGGTGTCCATACTCTTTGGAGAGCAGCACTGGCATGTCAGCAACTCGTTCATTCTAAAATAAGGATGAAATGATTTGGGGATTATTTCTTACATACATATACTTAAGGCAGCCAGGACAGGTCCTTGAACATAATAAGTGCTCAATTGTGCTATGTGAGATGAAGATATGGGGGAATGAATGAATGAGTAGTAGAAATATAGAACTATTACGTATAAGATTCGGTGTCACTAAAGTCTGAAAAGAGAAAATCTCTTTAACAAATGCCTCGTCATGGAGAGAGCCCTGTGTTTGTGCAAAAGCTGCATGTGTTTATGCAGAAACTGCATGTATAGGATAGCTTGATAAATAAATAGCTGACACAAGGATCCCCATCTTACTTGAGATAGTTGCACTCACTGATGAGAATGAGCTCTGGTAGTTGATTGGCCAACCTTCTCGTCTAGAGTCAGCTCAATGGAATGGCCTCTGCTGGATGACCGGCCAGCACCTTCAGTGACTATACTGTTAGATATTGCAGTTACAGGATTTGGGAGTTTAGCTGATAACTTTAATGCATCATTTTCCCATTGTTGTAATCATAATAGTTCTCAGTCCTAAATCATATTTCCTACATAACCACACCAGGGACGATGTAAATGTAGGCTCCTGAAGATGTTATTTCTCATATTTCATCAACCATGAAATTAAGCACATTATCCTAAAGGGGTTGACTAATGAAAATAGGGAAAGAAAAAGATGTATGTGTGTGTTGCTAACTCTCAAATATCTATGGACTAATCATATTAAATTTGGCTTAACCCTAGGTATATCAGTTTCAAATTAATTAGAATATCTATTGTTACTTATTTATCCTGTGATGGTTATACTTTTATTTTGGTGTGATAACTATGTTATCAATAGTACTTTTAACAAATATGAGCATTTTACAAATATGAGACAGAAGTCTACATAAGACACAGAAATACCTGGTTGTCGCATTATATTGATTTCTATGACCTATTGGGCAAGAGGGATTCCTGGTGGTGCAATGGGTTAAGTACTGGGCTCCTAGCTAAAAAGTTGGGGGTCCGGACTGACCAGCCATTCTTTTTTTTTTTTTTT